GAAATGTTGCCAAGACAATCTCAATCTTACATGGGAAAAGACCTAAATACAACAAGACCAGCATACCTACACCCGTGAAAATGTACGAAAACACACACACACAATTTATACAATAATATCACCTTGCAGCACATTTTACATCTTTTACATTTCCATTGTGTTTCCTTTATCACTACATATATATCTTATATAACTATATCCATATTTATATCCATATTTTACACATCTTATTTCGTACATATCCTGTTCTGTTCTGTTCTTTTCTAAAAGCAAGCTCAGTTTTCTTTCTCTTGTTCCCTTTGCTTAAGTTAGAGTTGCGCAGCTATAATCCTTTGAAATAAATATATAAAAAGTAATTATTTTTAATAAGTTCCCTGGCCTAGAAAAAGTTCTCCCAAGAAGAAAAGGGAAACAGAGGGTGGATGCGGGCACAGGTTGGCTCTTACGCCGGATTGAGTTGCGCAGAGTTCCTTCCTCTTCATCTGGTTCTCCGGTCCTGGGGACAAAACCAAACCGTCACACTTGGTTCCCACCTCTGGAGCTTTCATCATAGCAGCCAGTGAAAATTCTTTCCATGCAGAACAAGTTTAGAGCATTCACTAAATATCCCATAAGCCACAAACCCCTACAAGCTCCGTAGCTCCTACATTTTACAGTATTTTTTTTTCCCTTTTAAGGAACTGTTTCAGCTGATTGCAAAATGGTGGGTGTCCAAGCTTGGCAACTGTAAGATTTGTGGATTTCAACTCCCAGAATTCCCCAGCCAGCAGGAGAGGAATTCTGGGTGTTGAAGCTAAAAGGTAATGGTAAAGTTTCCCCTCACACATATGTGCTAGTCGTTCCTGACTCTAGGGGGCGGTGCTCATCTCCATTTCAAAGCCGAAGAGCCAGCGCTGTCGGAAGATGTCTCCGTGGTCATGTAGCCAGCATGATTAAATACTAAAGGCACATGGAACAGTTACCTTCCCACCAAAGGTGGTTCCTATTTTTCTACTTGCATTTTTTATGTGTTTTCGAACTGCTAGGTTGGTAGAAGCTGGGACAAGTAATGGGTGCTCACTCTGTTACATGGCACTAGGGGTTCGAACCGCCGAACTGCCAACCCCTCCGATTGACAAGCTCAGAGTCTTAGCCACTGAGCCACCGCGACTGGTAGTCGAAGTCTACCAGTTCTTAAAAGTTGCCAAGGTTGGCTCCCCCTGTTGTAAACCATTGCAGAATTCTGAAAGCTTCTGGGTTCAGAAGCGAAACATCTTCAAAGAAAAGCCAGTAAGTCCAGTTGCCTCTTGAAAAAAAAAAAAAAAGGACCTTTGGGTCATCAAAGTTTTAGAAATGGGCAC